TTGTTGAGACTGTCTTTGGTTCGCTGCAGTTTTAAGGTGGAAAATACTCAGCAATGCTGTCCACTAAGACAATTAAAAAACGCCACAGAGACATGTAAACAACATTAAAAGTTGGATTTTCACCACAGGGGGACTTTAAAATGTTTGTTTTCAATGTAACCTTATTACTTCGGTCAACTCGAGAATAATTTATTTAGTTTTATATTATTTAATTATTATTTAAAGAATTAATAGAGCAGTTTCAGGTCTTTCCCTGCAGTGTTTAATTGGCAGAGCTTGATATGAAATTTAGAAAGTAATAAGTAATGCAATACTTTTTAAAGAGTAATTACAGTAACATCATTACACTATTGAAGATGTAATTAATAGCTAGTATTACTCTTTTAGAGTAATTTGCCCTCAACTTCAAGTATACAATCTTGTATCTTTTTGTGTTTTTATGATTTTGTTGTTTTATATAATGTTGTGATGTGATTCATCTGTGGTAATTGATTTAAATATTTAAAGGAGACAACGAAACTGTTGAAACTGAGGGATGGTTCATAACACATATGTACAGAGGCGTATTGCATTCACTTGAAGAAAAAAAATCTACTCTGTTTTTCTGAATTAACGAGTTAATTTTTCATGAGAAAAAAAAAATTTGCTCTGTTTTTCTGAATTAATGAGTTAATTTGTCATGAGAAAAAATATTTTGCTCTGTTTTTCTGATTTAATGAGTTAATTTTTCATGAGAAAAAAAAGTTTTTGCTCTGTTTTTCTGAATTAATAAGTTAATTTTTCATGAGAAAAAAAAGTTTTTGCTCTGTTTTTCTGAATTAATGAGTTAATTTTTCATGAGAAAAAAAATTTGCTCTGTTTTTCTGAATTAATGAGTTAGTTTTTTTGAGAAAAAAGTTTTTGCTCTGTTTTTCTGAATTAATGAGTTAATTTTTTCATGAGAAAATTTATTTTGGCTGTTTTTCTGAATTAACTCATTAATTCAGAAAAACAGAGCAAAAAAAAAAAAAAATCCATTAAAAATTAACTCATTAATTCAGAAAAACAGAGCAAAAAAATTTTTCTCATGAAAAAATAATACTCGTTAATTCGGAAAAACAGAGTAGATTTTTTTTTCTTCAAGTGAATGCAATACGCCTCCGTATATATGAGATCAGTGGAACGAAAACAAAAGCACAAAGATCTAGAGATGCATAATAATAATAATATAATAAAATAAAAAAAGGAACTTCTTTTAACTTGAGTGCCACGTTTTTATAATCCCATGTCATGGACAAGACTCTGAAAAAGATGCAAAACGCGAACGCAAGATGTCCGTCTAGTGTGTGTTTACATTGAAAACAATAGAAAAGCATGAATGGAAAAACTTGTTCGGTGTAAATGTCCCCTAAAACTGATGTCAAAGCATGTGTCAGATATTAATATGGCTTGCATATTTCAGAGCGCATGACCCGGTCAGCCCCGGCCAACACGCGGCGAGCCAACCTCCGGACAGCCGGCACCATCAAGCCTCTGATCAGACCTGAAGATCTGGAAGCTGTTGAGCTGGGAAACACCAGGATGACCCCAAAAACCCTGTCCAGACCCAGAAGTGTGCAGGACCGCTTCATCACCTCGTCCTCTCTCATCAATGCTGTCGTAGGGGGTTCTTCCTCTGCCAGTAAGTCAACTCAACTTTATTTATAGAGCACTTTCAACACCACAAGTGGAACCCAAAGTGCTGTACAGAAGTAAAATAAAAATAAAAACAAAGACAATACAAACATATGAAATACACAACTTACAAAGCATTATCAAATGTTATCAAATCAAGTTTTAAGTGCACTCTGAAAAACACCCAATGCAGGACAAGTTTTTACAGACAAAGGAAGGAAAAAAAGCTTTTGCTGATAATTTACTCGCCCCCATGTCATCCTGTGTCCATGTCTTTCTTTATCCAGTCGAAAAGAAATTAAGGTTTTTGATGAAAACATTCCAGGATTTTCTCCATATAATGGACTCCAATGGGGTCCAAAAGACCGTTTCAGTGCAAAGGGCTTTAAACGACACCAGATGATGAATAAGGGTCTTATCAAGCGAAACAATCGCTCATTTAAAAAAAAAGTTTAAGTTTTATAAGCTCAAATGCTCGCCTTGCTCTGTTCTGTGATGCACGTTCGTGACTATTCAAAACTCGTTTATCAAAATGAGCAAGCCAAACATGCATGAAGAGACTGAATGGCACATTCATGCCCATGTTTCAGTGGTAAATAAATTTGAGAATCATCCGCATACAGATCTCACACTAAACCTTCAAACTGCACAAGTATTCAAACTACACAAAGCCTATATTATCCTCCAGGATTTTTTTCAGGGCATAATCAAGATTATCTTGGTGAATCTTATTTTCAAGGCCTTAATGATCAAACCTTTGCTGATGAAACCTGTTGCACACCATCTACAACATGCCTTCTCTCACCTTTAGCAAGTAAAAAGGACTTTTATTATAATTGCAAAAACGTCCATCTTCGTGTCAGTTTACTGTGAAATCTAAGGATAACTTTTATATTGTTAGTCATATTTAAAGATGAACACGCTGGACTGAAGCAACTGAGGTTTACTTGATTATACAGTACTTTTTTCAAATCATATGAATAAAAAATTATCCATCAGGCTTTTGATGAGCGTTTATTTGTTTATCTCTCAATCGTCATTGTAGTGCATTGTGTATGTTTTAGAACTAAAGACTTTGGTCATAAAACTAAGCATTTAAATAGATTCTTACTAAGAAATATTATTGATACAACTGGTATTTTATGTCAGTAGTCTGACATAAATCCGCGATATTTTTTTTTCCCAGGATGGTAGGGGAAGACTCCTCAATATTCATTAGGGAACTCATCCCTGATTGGTAAGCTGCCAACATGGCCGCCATGCCAGTAATGACGTCACGACGCCCAAGCCCTATTGTTGTGTTTAATGTAGAAATTTGTTATTTTGAAAATGTATACATTTCTTTCATAGTTTAGACTATATATACAGTGACATTTATAAATACATTTTTAAAAAATAGCCTATATTCAGAACATAAAAAGAAGCAGGAACGAACTATATACATATCCTACATTGGTTATTATTATCTAATAGTTTAAATCGCGGCAGCAGCTTCAGGTTGGTAGTCCAAGACATTGTTGTCTATCTGTACTTCCGGGATTCTTTCCACCGGAGCTTCGCTTTCGATTTCAAAATGGCAGCAGCATGAAATCAGCGTATTATTTGATCTGTCAAGCTTTACAGAGTGTTATTTTCTCAGACCCTAGACCTGGGACACAACAAATATTAAAATAGCACAACTAAGGAAAGTTAACGTAGTCTTGTAAACATTCTCTTCTTATTGCTTCCCGTGAATAGATGATCATATATACGGAGTACCTTCAGTACGGAGCGATCTATCCGCTCCTCGTGTCAAACGCGTCGGTGACCGGACGAACTACGGAGACGAACCGACAGCACGTGATCTGCTCCGCCCCCCTCTGCATTCCCTCTACGGAGTCCATGAAGAAGAGTTTTTAAGCCCTCGCACCAAACACCAGGTGAGTTTTAGACCGCTGTCATGCTACATTATGATACAAAGGGGGTTTACAATGTCGAACAGGTGAATAGCAACACATTCATCAAAGGTATATTGCATATCATATATAGATTGCAGAGATTTTCCAAAAAGTGGGTCTCAATGTTGCTGAGGAGACATTTGAGGAAGCCTGGAAGTTGGCGTCCATGAGAGATCCTGACGGTGACGTTTGTGTGGAGAGCTTTCGAAATGTTCTCAGTGAACTACAGGCTAATTAAAGTATTTCAAGTGTCCTTTATCCTTAAAGAGGACCTATTGTGCTTTTTTTTTTTCATGTTCGACTCTCTTTAGTGTGTAATGTTGCTGAGTTATTCTCTATATCAGTGTTTATGAACTCCTGAAACGCCTCCATTGTAGTCTCGAGTTTATTCCACGTCACAATATTCCTCATTATAATAATTAATGCGCAGAATAAAGGGGCGGGGCCTGGTTGAGTTAGTTAGTAGTGTGTTAAACTGGCGGTTATGGTAAATTAAGGGTGGGACATTCACCAAACACACTGATCCGGCCGACCAATCAGAGCACAGGAGAGACAGGAAGTAAACCGAGCGTTACTGACAGACTGGGAAGAGAGGAGCCGCAACAATGGAGGATATGAGGAGAATAATCAACATTCAAGCAGCAAAACCTGACTTTGCAAAAGAAAGACTTCGTGAAAAGGCATAATATGGCCTTTTTAACTTCACAGTGCAAATTAAATGTGAGGCTTTGTGACACTATAATCCAAAACTTGCCTTTGTTCAGATTATTTAGGAGAACTGTGTGCTTTTAAAGCTTCAGGTGCCTTTCAAGAGATCATTTGCGTATAAGTTTGAACAATAATCAGCGCGGACACATTAAACTAGTAATAATTACGACTCCAGCGTTTAATCTGAAGTGCGTTCAGACCCTCATGACTTCCACAACTGCAGTGTTTTATTAGTTCAGATCCATTATTGGGTCAGCGGTAATTTCAGCCATGTTATTTGTTTAATTTAGTCTCTTGTCAAATGAAGCAAAGTGCTGCAACGGGCAAGAAGTGCTCTCGACGTATCGTAATAATAGCTCGGCTTAGTAATGAATTTTTGCCTCCCAGGATAGCACTGAGTTTACTTAGAGGACGTACGCTGCATTTAGATTGCTGTCAATTAGCATTTTCTCCTGAAGGACTAATGTGGTGTTATCTGTTATGAGTAATGATGGTTATTTTCCACCTATTCATGTCTTGGACTAGTAAATGTTAAAGTCAACTGGTTAATGCATGATGTCCCCGATCCAATGCATTGTGTAAAATCAGGTCCTGACATGTTGACTAGCATCAGATTGCAGTAAAATGCATTGCATTTCATGTCGACTTTAATTGCACAAGCAAATGTACAGTAGAGAGATGAATTCATCAGCATTATTTGGCAATGTAACACACATACATCAGAAATGTGAGTAACTGATTAATAACACCAGCACAGAGTCCCTAATCCATGATAAAAGCCTAGAGGAGTCTTTGTAAAGCACATTCATGCTTTTATTTTCTTTTGTTCAGTTCACATGTAGTTGAAGCCAGCGTGATTAATTGCCTAATATGGTATTAACATATTTATTTCAATTGAAACAGGAGGTATGATATCCACTGTTAATCATATTATGACTTGTTTGCACACATGTGACAAAACACCCACGCAAGTCGAACAAGAACAATCCATTTCTGCCTCCAAAAATTATAATAATCCCAAAGCCATATTTCTAAATGATTTAATGAATTTCAGTCAATGATAATTCGATGACTCCCTGTAAAGCCATGAATGCATAAACAATGACGTGCCATAAAAGAGAAATAGGATGACAACCACGCATGGGTGAGAACATCTTTTTGTCAGTTTAACAAAGGATTTATTTTAATATCTAAATTAGGTGATAATTAGTCTCAACAACCATCTGTGGTTCTGTACGTATCAAATATCATAATTAATTAGGGCTGTTGGAAATCTTCATTTGTGGCATGCTTGATGATCTGAAAGTGACTTGGATAATGGAGGTGCATTAGACTTATTAGAAATATTTCGGAAGCAAACTTTGTCCCCAATTAAAAATCATTCAAAACATTCAAATCATTCTGGATTTTAAATGATGTCATTTAAATGTAAATGACATTTTTGTAGGTGAATTTCATGGAAACTTGCAAATGCATGTTATCAAAAAGTATGTTTTGCATTGAGTAAACTATGAAAATAAAGCACATCTCCTCTCATTCCCATTGTGTGAGTTTAATTTACACTGATTTTTAATTGAGAAGATATTCACACAGATCATTCTCACTACATCCCAGTAATAACTCGATGTTGTCCACATTACAGTCGATTTGATTGTGAGACTTGTTTCATTATAATTTCAGTGCCGTTCTAATTTCAGTAACTAATATTTTTTTCAAACCAAACAAATCCCATAACTAAAATAAAAATGACATGGCAGAATGAACTTTTATAATGGGTTATTTTATTGAATAAACTGAAGCTACATGAGGTTTGAGTGATTCTCAGGTGTAAATGAAGCCTAAAACATGTTGACTCAGCTGTCAATCAACCAGTGCACTACATCATCAGAGATCATCTGAGACATGTCACTAACAGGTCTGTGTCTCATCTGACCACTGAGATGGATGTTAAAGGGATGGTTCACTTTGAAATTAATTTTTGGTATGTTTTAGACTGACAGACAAGAACGGTTTGACCTAGAAATATCAAAATTGAAACTACTCCGGAAACAAAGACACCTACATCTTGGATGCCCTTGAGGTAAGCTGAAACATACCAAAAATTAATTTCAAAGTGAACTATCCCTTTAACATAAGGTGTAAATAAGGTCAAGTCCGGTGAAGTCAATGATGTCGTCTCGCTTTTTTACTCCAGTTGCTTCCAGTGCCATATCCGCGTCACCGTCCAATCTGGATCAGCTCCAGCATTCAACTCAAGATGAAACCTTCAACAAACACATTATGAGCTGTTAACATTTCTTTAGAGAATAGAAAATTGCTTGAATCTACACCTTATTTTTGCTTTAAAAATCATTCAGAGACCCATAATCTTTGCTGAAACGTTTTGACTGAATCGACTTATCTAGCAAATGAAATATGTTAAAGCAGAGCATAACTACAAAAATATATATTCTGTATAGAAATGTGCATTACTATTATAACAAGCAACTAATTACCGGATATTTTATTGGTGTTGTTGCACCTGATAAGAACGTGGTGAAAAAGGCAAGTTATAGATTTATAATATTGACAAAATTTTGATATTGCATCCCTACGGAAGCGTATTGCATTCACTTGAGGAAACAAAATGTACTGTTTTTCGGAATTAATTAGTTAATTATCTCAGAATTATGAGCTTTTTTTGAAAAAAAATTTTGCTCTGTTTTTCTGAAATAACGAGTTAATTATCTCAGAATTATGAGAATTTTTCAAGGAAAAGTTTTTGCTCTGTTTTTCAAAATTAATGAGTTAATTATCTCAGAATTATGAGAAGTTTTCATAGAAAACATTTTTTGCTCTGTTTTTCTGAATTAACAAGTTAATTATCTCAGAATTATGAGAATTTTTCAAGGAAAAGTTTTTGCTGTTTTCCAGAATTAATGAGTTAATTATCTCTGAATTATGAGCATTTTTCATGAAAAAAAGTTTTTGCTCTGTTTTTCTAAAATAACGAGTTAATTATCTCAGACTGACGAGAATTTTTCATGGAAAAAAGGTTTTGCTCTGTTTTTCGGAATTAACAAGTTAATTATCTCAGAATGACGAGAATTTTTCATGGAAAAAAGTTTTTGCTCTGTTTTTTGGAATTAACAAGTTAATTATCTCAGAATTATGAGCATTTTTCAAGGAAAAAAGTTTTTGCTCTGTTTTTCGGAATTAACGAGTTAATTATCTCAGAATGCCGAGAATTTTTCATGGAAAAAAAGTTTTTGCTCTTTTTTTGGAATTAACGAGTTAATTATCTCAGAAATATTAGATAATTAACAGAATTATGAGAATTTTTCAAGGAAAAGTTTTTGCTCTGTTTTTTCGGAATTAACGAGTTAATTATCTCAGAATTATGAGAATTTTTCATGGAAAAAAGTTTTTGCTCTGTTTTTTCGGAATTAACGAGTTAATTATCTCAGAATGACGAGAATTTTTCATGGAAAAAAGTTTTCGATGCAATATCTGTACATCCCTGCATTTATTCAATAGGAAAATCTGAGAAACTTGATATACGATTCCAAAAAAAAAAAAGTTTTGGTGCAAAAAAAAAAAAAAAAAGCGTGTCACGTCAGACCCACACTAGGGCGATCTGATGACACTTTCCCAAAGTTAACTTAGAAACCGCACTCGCTGAGCGACGGCTCAGTAAAACGTGCTAATGTGACAGATGGAAAGATGTTTTGAAACACGAGAGAAAAAGAGGAGTGTGCAAACAGCTGAGAGCGAACCTATTAGCATCCATATATCCATCAAAGCACTGCGGAAAACAAATGTCTGTCATAAGGGAGAAATCCATTAAGTACATTTAAGATCATTTGAAGCTGTGCTGGCATTCATCAGTCAGACTTATGGTTGTGTGTTCACGTTCACGTCAACGATCTGTGTCTGTGGGGAGAATCTGTCACGCGAGGTGCAACTTTACAAGAGCGCTTGACTTCTAATTACGTTTTGAGTGTGACTCTTTCAAAGAGTAGTATATGAAATCTACCCTCGAGTGCCAAACATACAGCCGCTCCATCTTTGCCGAAGGCTGGTGGCAATTATGCTGTGAAAAAAACGTAAAATGTATTTGAAGTACATTTATTTTGTGCCAAGTATACTACAAATACATTTATGTGCTTAATAAAAATACTCTGCAAGTGCACTTTTGGTATACTAAACTGGTCAATTGGAACTACAAATGTTTTACTTCAGCACTATTTCTGGATAACTAAAGTGCGTTAAGTTCAACTAACCATATAATTAAGTATATTTGATTGAGCTGACTTGAGTTATAAATATTAGGTGTACTTTCTTATTTTGTTTTTGTTTTTTTATCAGTATTTTTGATTTATTCTAATTTATAATTTATTTGATTTATTGTTTGCTTTGCGCTTCCTTTCTATTTATAGTTTGCTTTCCTGTCACAACACTATGAATGTGTGGATGATTGTGGTATGAATGCATGGGGGAGTGATTTCTGAAGCTTGTCGTGTTATTTTATTCTGTAAATATGAAAATAAAATACAAAAAATAAATTACAATTTACTATAAAAATTTTTTTTTTTTTTATTGCTAATGTGGAACTATTGCAAGTATACTTTAGGTACACTTTAAATATATTGGATTTGAAGACTGACGTTATACAGAGATCATACAATCCTTATTAATAGTGATGATATTAAAACACATTTTAGGCATAATATTAAGAAATGTGCAGTGTTCAATAAAGAAACACTCCAAATAAAGATTAATTATAATTTTATATCAAGTCTTAAGTGAAATGTCAATACATATGTTAATGGATTTCAAGTATATGAAAAATGTATTTTAGAAAGATTTTGTTAGTTTTATATATATATATATATATTGACATTTTACTGAAGACTTAATGATTTAAAATTATAATTAAACTTTATATATATATTAATCTGCATCGGGTGAATCTGAATAAAAATAAGGCCAGGTCACATTTCAACCCAAAATCAGAAAGAAAGGAACAAGGAAAATAAAACCTATTTATTAGACCAACATGGTAAAATATATTATAAAATAAAAAAATAAACAGTAAAATATATATAATTTTTTTAATATTTGAATGTATTTTTAGTAATATACCAATATAACATAATTAAATGTTTCATTAAAACATGTTTATAAAATATAATTGAATATTTTCCGACGCATTCTGGCACGGCACACTTACTCGTACACAGCTGTGATGATCTTCTTTTGAGGGCCATCTTCTTCAGTTAACTCCATCTTGAAGATTCGTGTGCTCTCGGGGTCCTCCGGGACGTCTGCGCTGGACAGGTACCAAAGCCTCATCGTGATGTACACAAACTTTCTGCCTACAGGAGAACCAGAGGTGTTCTACTCGTCCATCAGGGTCAGCCTATACACATATTTCATATTCTTGATGCTGCTCTGCTGCACTTTGTTGTTAGGATGACAAAAAGTTTTAAAAGTTACATTATAGGCCGTCTAACAGCACTCGTCAATGTCAATCACTGAGGTGGCCAATCAGATCAAAGAAGGCGGGGCTTGCTGTTCACAGGAGAGAGTCAAGTCAGCTTTATTTCTATGAAGCTTTTTACAATACAGAGTGTTTCAAAGCAGCTTTACTGAGATTACAGGAAAATAATGCAACAAAGTTTGTTTCAAACTCCAATGCGATGCTTTAGTTTTAATAGTGAAAAAGTAGCTTAACCTTTAATATTTGACAGCTGTTTTAAGTGATGCAAACCATGAAATGTCACCGTTTTGAATTGAAAATATGTTAATAATTTACATGTAATTCACAACTGAATGTGATTAGAGGCGTTTTGCCTTTATTACATATTAGATTTACAAATAAGAGTGAATTTGTGCATATTTTAAATATTATTTGTGAATAGTTGATTACTTAATATCTTTAATTTACCATTCATATTTATTTTCGCCTTTGCATTTTAATGTCCATATATATATATGTCAATATATTGGGAAACAGTATCATAATTAAATGAGCATGGGTGAATTTTTAATTATTTTACTTTTAACATCTAACACAATCCGTTTTGTTGTTGTTTTGTTTTTCTAATCAAATATTTCAAACAAACGGTGTTTTTCAGAATATTGTTTTAATCTGTGATCAATTCTTTTTTTATTTGTTTCCCAAATATCACTTTCCCTCATGTACATTTTTCGTAATCTCTCTTTAACAAAGGCCAGTTCTTAATGACATCATCATCCAGGAAGTGACATCACTTTGGAGGGAAAGCAACAGCACAAACTTCAGTAAGTATTAGCAATGGATTTTATATTTATATCAGTTGGTTTGTGTCACTCTGATTCATTCAATCCTGTCTGACAGAATTACAACAACAAAAAAATCAATATCGCAGGAAATACTTCAAGCATCAAAATAATAATTTAAAAACGGTTCAGTTTTAATCTATAATTCCACCCTGTTCATTTTCCATAACCAGTGCATATTTCTAAAAGTCTGCTAGACTCGTTTATAGAAAGTTACACCACATGCATACTCA